ACAGACCTGTCTCTAGACCGGCTACCGAGCCACTCTCCTCGCCAGTACTTGTTCGCTTGGCTGCTGAAAAGGCCGATGTCTCCCCCCGTTCCTGACCGCCCTCTGTTAGCTCTTCCTCACTGTACAGTGGGGCTGAGCCCACAGCATGCGATACTTCGCTTGGTGAGGGAACAGCAAAGGACAGGGGCAGGTAGAGGACACGTGATTTCAGTGGGCTTGCTCCCGGGCCATGCCAACTAACGGTTGTGTCTGACGTACCCACCGACCGTTGGCTGTAGGTGTCAGAGGTGACCTGGGAAGAGGAAGACGACCGAGCCAACCAATCAATGACGGCAGGGTTGTCGGTGGAGACACGACCGCTGGATGACACCGGGAGCACTGGCCTCTGGGCTGCGAATACTGCTGCCTCGACCCCTTCCTCTGCTGCCACGTCTGCTCGCTCCTAAAACATTGCCTCCTCTGCCACTCCTCTGCATGTTGTCTGACATACTATTTAATTCAACGATTAGGTGTCCCTGAGTAACAATTCTCTGGCACTCAGTAACAATTCTGTCTGTCCCTGAGTATGAATTCTCTGGCCCTGAGTAACAATTCTGTGTCTGTGCGAGTAACAATTCTGTGTCTGTGCGAGTAACAAATTCTGTGTCTGTGCAAGTAACAATTTTTGTGTCTGTGCGAGTAACAATTCTCTGGCACTCAGTAACAATTTCTGTCTGTCCCTGAGTAACAATTCTCTGGCACTCAGTAACAATTCTGTCTGTCCCTGAGTAACAATTCTCTGGCACTCAGTAACAATTCTGTCTGTCCCTGAGTATGAATTCTGTGGCCCTGAGTAAAACAATTCTGTGTCTGTGCGAGAGTAACAATTCTGTGTCTGTGCAAGTAACAATTTTGTGTCTGTGCTGAGTAACAATTCTCTGGCACTCAGTAACAATTCTGTCTGTCCCTGAGTAACAATTCTCTGGCACTCAGTAACAATTCTGTCTGTCCCTGAGTATGAATTCTGTGGCCCTGAGTAACAATTCTGTGTCTGTGCGAAGTAACAATTCTGTGTCTGTGCAAGTAACAATTTTGTGTCTGTGCGAGAGTAACAATTCTCTGGCACTCAGTAACAATTCTGTCTGTCCCTGAGTAACAATTCTCTGGCACTCAGTCAGTAACAATTCTGTCTGTCCCTGAGTAACAATTCTCTGGCACTCAGTAACAATTCTGTCTGTCCCTGAGTAACAATTCTCTGGCACTGAGTAACAATTCTGTGTCTGTGCGAGTAACAATTCTGTGTCTGTGCAAGTAACAATTTTGTGTCTGTGCGAGTAACAATTCTCTGGCACTCAGTAACAATTCTGTCTGTCCCTGAGTAACAATTCTCTGGCACTCAGTAACAATTCTGTCTGTCCCTGAGTAACAATTCTCTGGCACTCTCAGTAACAATTCTGTCTGTCCCTGAGTATGAATTCTGTGGCCCTGAGTAACAATTCTGTGTCTGTGCGAGTAACAATTCTGTGTCTGTGCAAGTAACAATTTTTTGTGTCTGTGCGAGTAACAATTCTCTGGCACTCAGTAACAATTCTGTCTGTCCCTGAGTAACAATTCTCTGGCACTCAGTAACAATTCTGTCTGTCCCTGAGTAACAATTCTCTGGCACTCAGTAACAATTCTGTCTGTCCCCTGAGTATGAATTCTGTGGCCCTGAGTAACAATTCTGTGTGTCTGTGCGAGTAACAATTCTGTGTCTGTGCAAGTAACAATTTTGTGTCTGTGCGAGTAACAATTCTCTGGCACTCAGTAACAATTCTGTTCTGTCCTGAGTAACAATTCTCTGCTGAGTAACAATTCTCTGGCACTCAGTAACAATTCTGTCTGTCCCTGAGTAACAATTCTCTGGCACTCAGTAACAATTCTCTGTCTGTCCCTGAGTAACAATTCTCTGGCACTCTGAGTAACAATTTCTGTGTCTGTCCCTGAGTAACAATTCTGTGGCCCTGAGTAACAATTCTGTGTCTGTGCGAGTAACAATTCTGTGTCTGTGCAAGTAACAATTTTGTGTCTGTGCGAGTAACAATTCTCTGGCACTCAGTAACAATTCTGTCTGTCCCTGAGAGTAACAATTCTCTGGCATCAGTACTCAGTAACAATTCTGTCTGTCCCTGAGTAACAATTCTCTGGCACTCAGTAACAATTCTGTCTGTCCCTGAGTATAACAATTCTGTGGCACTCAGTAACAATTCTGTGTCTGTCTGTGCGAGTAAACAATTCTGTGTCTGTGCAAGTAACAATTTTGTGTCTGTGCTGTCCCTGAGTAACAATTCTCTGGCACTCAGTAACACAATTCTGTCTGTCCCTGAGTAACAATTCTCTGGCACTCAGTAACAATTCTGTCTGTCCCTGAGTAACAATTCTCTGGCACTCAGTAACAATTCTGTCTGTCCCTGAGTATGAATTCTGTGGCCTCTGAGTAACAATTCTGTGTCTGTGCGAGTAACAATTCTGTGTCTGTGCAAGTAACAATTTTGTGTCTGTGCGAGTAACAATTCTCTGGCACTCAGTAACAATTCTGTCTGTCCCTGAGTAACAATTCTCTGGCACTCAGTAACAATTCTGTCTGTCCCTGAGTAACAATTCTCTGGCACTCAGTAACAATTCTGTCTGTCCCTGAGTATGAATTCTGTGGCCCTGAGTAACAATTCTGTGTCTGTGCACTCAGTAACAATTCTGTGTCTGTGCAAGTAACAATTTTGTGTCTGTGCGAGTAACAATTCTCTGGCACTCAGTAACAATTCTGTCTGTCCCTGAGTAAACAATTCTCTGGCACTCAGTAACAATTCTGTCTGTCCCTGAGTAACAATTCTCTGGCACTCAGTAACATTTCTGTCTGTCCCTGAGTAGTAACAATTCTCTGGCACTCAGTAACAATTCTGTGTCTGTGCGAGTAACAATTTCTGTGTCTGTGCAAGTAACAATTTTGTGTCTGTGCGAGTAACAATTCTCTGGCACTCAGTAACAATTCTGTCTGTCCCTGAGTAACAATTCTCTGGCACTCAGTAACAATTCTGTCTGTCCCTGAGTAACAATTCTCTGGCACTCAGTAACAATTCTGTCTGTCCCTGAGTATGAATTCTGTGGCCCTGAGTAACAATTCTGTGTCTGTGCGAGTAACAATTCTGTGTCTGTGCAAGTAACAATTTCTGTGTCTGTGTCTGTGCGAGTAACAATTCTCTGGCACTCAGTAACAATTCTGTCTGTCCCTGAGTAACAATTCTCTGGCACTCAGTAACAATTCTGTCTGTCCCTGAGTAACAATTCTCTGGCCTCAGTAACAATTCTGTCTGTCCCTGAGTATGAATTTCTGTGGCCCTGAGTAACAATTCTGTGTCTGTGCGAGTAACAATTCTGTGTCTGTGCAGTAGTAACAATTCTGTGTCTGTGCGAGTAACAATTCTCTGGCACTCAGTAACAATTCTGTCTGTCCCTGAGTAACAATTCTCTGGCACTCAGTAACAATTCTGTCTGTCCCTGAGTAACAATTCTCTGGCACTCAGTAACAATTCTGTCTGTCCCTGAGTAACAATTCTCTGGCACTCAGTAACAATTCTGTCTGTCCCTGAGTATGAATTCTGTGGCCCTGTAACAAGTAACAATTCTGTGTCTGTGCGAGTAAACAATTCTGTGTCTGTGCAAGTAACAATTTGTGTGTCTGTGCGAGTAACAATTCTCTGGCACTCAGTAACAATTCTGTCTGTCCCTGAGTAACAATTCTCTGGCACTCAGTAACAATTCTGTCTGTCCCTGAGTAACAATTCTCTGGCACTCAGTAACAATTCTGTCTGTCCCTGAGTAACAATTCTCTGGCACTCAGTAACAATTCTGTCTGTCCCTGAGTAACAATTCTGTGGCACTCTGAGTAACAATTCTGTCTGTGCTGAGTAACAATTCTGTGTCTGTGCAAGTAACAATTTGTGTCTGTGCGAGTAACAATTCTCTGGCACTCAGTAACAATTCTGTCTGTCTGTCCCTGAGTAACAATTCTCTGGCACTCAGTAACAATTCTGTCTGTCCCTGAGTAACAATTCTCTGGCACTCAGTAACAATTCTGTCTGTCCCTGAGTAACAATTCTGTCTGTCTGTCCCTGAGTAACAATGAATTCTGTGGCCCTGAGTAAGAATTCTCTGGCACTCAGTAACAATTCTGTCTGTCCCTGAGTAACAATTCTCTGGCACTCAGTAACAATTCTGTCTGTCCCTGAGTAAAAATTCTGTGGCCCTAATAACGTTTCTGTGGCCCTAAGTAACAATTCTCTGGCACTGAGTAACAATTCTGTCTGTCCCTGAGTATGAATTCTGTGGCCCTAACTAGCGTTTCTTTGTCCCTAAATAACGATTCTGTGGCCCTCATTAACAAGTCTGTGTCCCTGAGTAATGGTTCTCTGTCCCTAAGTAACTTCTCTCTGTCCCCAATTCTCGTTTCTGTGGCCCTAACTCTGTCCCTGTCCCTAGTACAGAGCGGTCTGCCTCTGTTCAATGACTGCAGGCAAATGAAGATTTCCAAAATGGCCGCTATATATACCTCGACCATTACACAGTGCTGGCTGGCTGGCTGCTGATTGGCTGATGCGATCACATGTCGTTGAGGAATGCATTATGGGGCAGCGCGCCTTGTCTGCGCGCCTTCCCCGACATCCCCGCTCCGTCGCCGCACATGTCAGCCGCCATTTTCGGAAAAATTTCGATTCGCGCGTCCGAATTAGGCTGTTTTTCGGATTCGGCACGAATCGAAATTTTTCCGATATTAATTCCACTTCGATACTTCGATTCGCTCATCTCTAATTATCACAGGACCACGCTTGGAGTCACTGAGCTCCTGAGAGTGACCCATTCTTTCACCAATGTTTGTAGAAGCAGTCTGCATGCCTAGGGGCTTGATTGTATACACCTGTGTCCATGGAGGGGATTAGAACACCTGAATCACATGATATGGAGGGGATTGGAAATACCTGAATCACATGATATGGAGGGGATTGGAACACCTGAATCACATGATTTGGAGGGGATTGGAATGCCTGAATCACATGATTTGGAGGGGATTGGAACACCTGAATTACATGATTTGGAAGGGATTGGAACACCTGAATCACATCATTTGGAGGGGATTGGAATGTCTGAATCACATGATAGGGAGGGGATTAGAACACCTGAATCACATGATTTGGAGGGGATTGGAACGCCTGAATCACATGGTAGGGAGGGGATTGGAACGCCTGAATCACATGATAGGGAGGGGATTGGAACGCCTGAATCACATGATATGGAGGGGATTGTAACACCTGAATCACATCATTTGGAGGGGACTGGAACACCTGAATCATGATTTGGAGGGGATTAGAACACCTGAATTACATGATTTGGAGGGGATTGGAACACCTGAATCACATGATTTGGAGGGGATTGGAACACCTGAATCACATGATTTGGAGGGGATTGGAACACCTGAATCACATGATTTTGGGGCGGCCCAATACATTTGGCAATATAGTGCATATTCATTAATTTTGTTATAACTTTTTTTTTTTTAATTATTATTCATTGACATTCATTCCTATGTCCATTCTGGGATTTGTATCCATGCAAAGCTCCAAAAATCAAATTTTCAGCCCAAAAAAACGAATCATAATGAAATGAACCGTGCATATCTAATGTGTAATGGAATCCACTGACTTTTATTTTCACTGTTAAAAATCATATTTTATACAATTAAAATTTGAAAAATCTTCAGACTGTCATACATTGCTCCAGGGACTACCCCACCCCCAAATGAAAAGACAAAAAGAAGTACTTGTTCATCTAATGGCCAGAAGGAGGTACAGTTTTCTGAAATACTTCAATGAGAATATATACCACATTTCGGCCAGTGGATGGCGCTCATGATATTTGAAAAACATACAGTGATGTTTCTTTCAGTTTGATGGAATGTGTCTGCCATTCATGTCTTGTAAATAGACCCCCAATTGTGCTTATTTCTAGCATATGTTCCAAGGAAAACTTTTTTATTAAAGTAGAACCCCCCCCCCCCGGGACTTTGCTGGTAATAACTTTCCGTAGGTGTAATAGACATGTGCACCCCAGATATTTTCGTTTCATTTTGGATGCATTCATTCATTGAAGAATTTTGTTTTGTTATATTCGTTATGTTGGACTGATTCATTTTTGGAATTCATTTTGTACCTTCAGCATTCATTTTGTATATTCATCGGTCTGGGTGGATTTGTAAAATTTTGCATTTTGTTTTGGAAGATTGCTATATATTCCATATATTGTTGAATCGAACAGATGTTATATTTTCAAATGCTAGTCCAATCTACCAAGAGACATGGCATCAGCCGATTAGACCATATGGACTGGCGCCACGTGCATCCGAATTAATGAATGGAACGAAGTTCAGATTAATTCATTAACCGAATCCAAATTATAGAACAAATTTTCAAAAATTGAATTAATTTCCCCGTGGGCCCGAACTTCTATTGCATCGTGTGACGTCCACCGAATGAAACAAATATCTCCATTAATTTTGTTATAACTTTTTTTGGATTCATTGACATTCATTACTATGTCCATTCTGGGATTTGTATCCATTTCAGTCAGTGGATGGCACTCATGATGTTTGAAAAACATGCAGTGATGTTTCTTTCAGTTTGAAGGAATGTGTCTGACATTCATGGAACATGTGCCTTGTAAATAGACCCCCAAGTGTGCATGTTTCTAGCAGTACAGTGGCTAAATGGGTATTTGGTTCAAATTCCAGTCACAGCACCACCTGCCTGAAGTTTGCATCTTCTCCCTGTGCCTGTGTGGGTTTCCTCTGGGTACTCTGGTTTCCTCCCACACTCCAAAGACATGCTGGTAGGTGAATTGGATCCTGTCTAAATTGTCCCTAGTATGTGTATGTATGAATGTGAGTTAGGGACCTTAGATTGTACGCCCCTTGAGGGTTAGGGACCTTAGATTGTACGCCCCTTGAGGGTTAGGGACCTTAGATTGTATGCCCCTTGAGGGTTAGGGACCTTAGATTGTACGCCCCTTGAGGGTTAGGGACCTTAGATTGTACACCCCTTGAGGGTTAGGGACCTTAGATTGTATGCCCCTTGAGGGTTAGGGACCTTAGATTGTACTCCCCTTGAGGGTTAGGGACCTTAGATTGTACACCCCTTGAGGGTTAGGGACCTTAGATTGTACGCCCCTTGAGGGTTAGGGACTTAGATTGTACTCCCCTTGAGGGTTAGGGACCTTAGATTGTACCCCCCTTGAGGGTTAGGGACCTTAGATTGTACGCCCCCTTGAGGGTTAGGGACCTTAGATTGTACACCCCTTGAGGGTTAGGGACCTTAGATTGTACACCCCTTGAGGGTTAGGGACCTTAGATTGTACACCCCTTGAGGGTTAGGGACCTTAGATTGTATGCCCCTTGAGGGTTAGGGACCTTAGATGTACACCCCCTTGAGGGTTAGGGACCTTAGATTACCCCTTGAGGGTTAGGGACCTTAGATTGTATGCCCCTTGAGGGTTAGGGACCTTAGATTGTACACCCCTTGAGGGTTAGGGACCTTAGATTGTACTGCCCCTTGAGGGTTAGGGACCTTAGATTGTACGCCCCTTGAGGGTTAGGGACCTTAGATTGTACACCCCTTGAGGGTTAGGGACCTTAGATTGTATGCCCCTTGAGGGTTAGGGACCTTAGATTGTACTCCCCTTGAGGGTTAGGGACCTTAGATTGTACACCCCTTGAGGGTTAGGGACCTTAGATTGTACGCCCCTTGAGGGTTAGGGACCTTAGATTGTACTCCCCTTGAGGGTTAGGGACCTTAGATTGTACCCCCCTTGAGGGTTAGGGACCTTAGATTGTACGCTCCTTGAGGGTTAGGGACCTTAGATTGTACACCCCTTGAGGGTTAGGGACCTTAGATTGTATGCCCCTTGAGGGTTAGGGACCTTAGATTGTACACCCCTTGAGGGTTAGGGACCTTAGATTGTATGCCCCTTGAGGGTTAGGGACCTTAGATTGTACACCCCTTGAGGGTTAGGGACCTTAGATTGTACTCCCCTTGAGGGTTAGGGACCTTAGATTGTACACCCCTTGAGGGTTAGGGACCTTAGATTGTACTCCCCTTGAGGGTTAGGGACCTTAGATTGTACACCCCTTGAGGGTTAGGGACCTTAGATTGTACACCCCTTGAGGGTTAGGGACCTTAGATTGTATGCCCCTTGAGGGTTAGGGACCTTAGATTGTACACCCCTTGAGGGTTAGGGACCTTAGATTGTACTCCCCTTAAGGGTTAGGGACCTTAGATTGTACTCCCCTTGAGGGTTAGGGACCTTAGATTGTACACCCCTTGAGGGTTAGGGACCTTAGATTGTATGCCCCTTGAGGGTTAGGGACCTTAGATTGTACTCCCCTTGAGGGTTAGGGACCTTAGATTGTACGCCCCTTGAGGGTTAGGGACCTTAGATTGTACGCTCCTTGAGGGTTAGGGACTGATGCGAATGTAATATATATATGTAAAGCGCTGTGTAAATTGAAGGTGTTATATACAGTTGTGGCCAAAATTATTCAACCCCCAATGCTGTAAAGGGGTTTAGGGACTATAGTGTACATTTGGAATTGTATTCAGAATCAAATCCTACAAGGACGTTGTAACTACCCAAATGCAACTAAAATGACATCAATTGTTTATGTAATACAGTAGTAAATGGTTCTTATGTGGTTTCTTCATTGCCACAATTATTCAACCCCTTAAAGACTACCACTCTGAAGAACAGAGGTTCATACAGGTGCTTTCCATCAGGTATTGAAAACACCTGTGGATGTCACCGAGCAGCAATCAAGCATAATAAGCACCAATTAGGCAGCTTTAAAATGACTGTGATACTCAGCTCCTTCTAGACATTTACTGGTGTGGTTACAAACATGGTGAAGGCAAGAGAATGGTCCAGGAAGACAAGAGAAGAGGTGATTTCTCTTCACAGGAAGGGCAATGGCTATAAGAAGATTGCAAAGATGTTAAACATACCAAGAGACACCTTAGGAAGCATCATTCGCAAATTCAAGGCAAAGGGCACTGTTGAAACGCTACCTGGTCGTGGCAGAAAGAAGATGCTGACTTCGACTGCTGTGCGCTACCTGAAGCGTAGAGTGGAGAGAAGTCCCCGTGTGACTGCTGAGGAACTGAGAAAAGATTTGTCAGATGTGGGTACAGAAGTTTCAGCCCAGACAATAAGACGCACACTGCGTAATGAAGGCCTCCGTGCCAGAACTCCCAGGCGTACCCCCTTGCTGTCTCCAAAGAATAAGAAGAGTCGACTGCAGTATGCCAAAAGCCATGTGGACAAACCACAAAAGTTGTGGGATAGTGTTCTGTGGACTGATGAAACAAAATTAGAACTGTTTGGGCCCATGGATCAACGCTATGTTTGGAGGAGGAAGAACAAGGCCTATGATGAAAAGAACACCTTGCCTACTGTGAAGCATGGTGGAGGGTCAATCATGCTTTGGGGCTGTTTTGCTTCTGCAGGTACAGGGAAGCTTCAGCGTGTGCAAGGTACCATGAATTCTCTTCAGTACCAGGAGATATTGGATGGAAACGTGATGCAGTCCGTCACACACCTGAGGCTTGGGAGACGTTGGACCTTTCAACAGGACAATGATCCCAAGCATACCTCCAAGTCCACTAGAGCATGGTTGCAGAGGAAAGGCTGGAACATTTTGGAGTGGCCATCGCAGTCACCAGACTTAAATCCGATTGAGAACCTCTGGTGGGACTTAAAGAAAGCAGTTGCAGTGCGCAAGCCTAAGAATGTGACTGAACTGGAGGCCTTTGCCCATGAAGAATGGGCGAAGATACCCGTAGATCGCTGCAAGACACTTGTGTCAAGCTATGCTTCACGTTTAAAAGCTGTTATAACTGTAAAAGGATGCTGTACTAAGTACTAAGATTGAATGTCACTTGGGGGTTGAATAAAACTGATAATGCTGTGAGCACAGAAAAGACATTTGTGGTTATTTCATTATAACTGTTATGTTATATTTGTCTGACCTACAAGTGCCTCTTTAATGTAAATGTAAGCAAGATGACTGAATGATCAAAAGCAATGTCAAACTGGCCAAAACACTCAATTTCAGTGGGGGTTGAATAATTTTGGCCACAACTGTAAGTACCTGAAAGAAATAAAATATGTTCCAAGGAGAAGAAAAACATTTTTTTTTATATTAATACTATATCCACTTGTCTACCGGGCACTATAACAGAAATACTGCTACAGGGCGGCACGGGTGCACAAAATCCCATATATATGTGATTTTGCAGTTCTGGGTCGTTCCTACCTGCGCCACCATTTGCATCCTCGGCTGTCAATCACCGGGTCCCAGCCAGTCATTCCCGACACCCAGCGATCGCCAAGTATCACTGACGGGGGGAGAGGTCTGTATGTAAACCACAAAGATCTCTCCCCTGTCAGATCTCTCCCCTCT